GGCCGTGGTGTTCTGCGCAGGTCTTGTAAAGCGAATCAGTAAGCTGCGTACAACGCCTTTGACTACCTTACCAAAAGTAGCCGGCTATGGGTTGGATCCCATTGCTTAAAACTTTAGACACAACGCAAACAAAGTGATTTTGACATGGCTGAATACATTACGTCAGGCGAGCAAAAACACACGGGGTTCACTACCTGTAGACCGATGTGCATTGAAAATAAATAAATAAATAAAAAAAGATGTTGGTGATGTGCTTCATGCGGGTTCAAGCGGGACTGGAAAGATAGGATTATCACGTGAGTGTTCCTTCTTCGGCGGGTCGTTGAACCAGGAGTTGGCGAACTTTGAAATACTGATAGACCTAAAACAAAGACCGCATCATACCCTGTCCAACCAATAATTGCCCACTTATCCTGCCCTAGCAGTCCCTGCTGGGTCGGTTACGTGAAGTAAAAAATAAGGTAAACTCAGAAGGCAAAAGAGAAAGTGGAAAGAGCTAAGCAAGTGGAATACGAAGATATTTGAGTCCCTAAACAAAAGTACTGAAAAGGGAAGGTGAGTTGGCTAGGAAAAAGGAAAGGTTTGCTGTTGTCACCCAAGAGCAGCAAGCTGGCGCGCAAATCCCTTAACCGTAGGTTCCCTAACCAAGTGATCTGGAAACGAATTCCAGCGATCTATAACTCGGCGCGATAGACGAGTTTCCGTCCTAATCCTATCAGACCGTGGCCTATGCAGTATCAGTGGGTGACCGCGGAGATTAAGTAACGTAGCGGGACTAAATAGCCCTGACAAGTCCGGGCCAATCTTACCCGTCAAATACGATAAGTGAGAATCAGGTCCCCTCTTATCCTTCAGTAGTGCATTGAGTATATCCCCAAACTGAGCAAGTGTTCAGGATACGTCTGTCCCCGTAGACCCTGCACTAACCGAGTGCCCACTATTAACAACCTCTCCAAGTCCATTTTGTCTCGGGTAAGACATGATGGACAAGCCTGAATACAATATTCCAGGTTTGTCGGACGAATGCAGAAAATAGCTTCACAAACAAATTTTTCCGTTAAGAGTCCGAAAGAGCGGCTGATAAACCACATTATACGAAACCCTCGACAAGCTGCCTTCTTCCAGTTGTCTCCAGAATGAAGTGTTGATGCGTGTACGACTCCTAAATCAACCTGCTGAGTGACAACAGGGAGTTCACCACCGCCGACAACATATCGGGTGGGAGAATTTGCAGCTCCGATTCGGAGAACAGATCATTTGGCCCCATGTATGGGCATCAAGCATAAGGTAAACCATTCCCAGAGCCTATCCAAGGCACGCTGAATTGCCTCAGGACCCCCGGGATATCCACGATATTCCAGAGCTTAAGGTCGTTAGCAAACATTAATGATGACACCCCTAGCTCTCCCGGCAAGTTATTTACATAGATCGCGAACAACAATGGCCCCAATACCGAGCCCTGCGGAACGCCACTAAGGACAGCTTGCCTGAGCGAAAGGCTACGCCCCACCCGTACGCACTGTTCCCTCCCCTCAAGGAAGGCAGACACCCATTGAAGGGCGCGAGCAGATATCCCGTAAGATCTCAACTTTAGTGAGAGCCGAAGATGTGGAACAGTGTCAAAAGCTTTCGAAAAATTTACGAATAGCACGTCTACAGCGTGACCACTGTCTACCGCTTCGGCTCAGCTTTCACGAGCTACAAGTAGATTAGTCTGACATGAAAATCCTTTGCGGAATCCATGTTGCGCAACACTGAGAAGGTTGAATCTATTCAGGTGGTTCTCCACTGAATCCCTTATCAGCTTCTCGAACAACTTGACTACTACGCTTGTCAAACTGACAGGCCGGTAGTTCGCGTGTAGAGCGCTGTCACCGCTGTCATCGGACAGATGATTGTCCCCTTCCATTTCGAAGGTAGGCTGCAACTATCCAGTGATATTGATAACACGCATGTGAGCGGATCATTCAGCTCAGTGGTAAATTCATGCAACAGTTTCGGATGAATTGAATCAGGACCGGAAGCTTTAGAGGGATTAATGCCTTGCAGTAGCTCGAAGACCTGAGTCTCCGTTATGCTAAATGCAGCTATGCAAGAATCCTCAGGAACTCCTGAAACCAATTCAACCTGTGGTAAAGAGGTCTCCCGAGCAAAGACCCTAATATACTGATCACTCAGTATACAAGCCATGTCATAGTCAGTTTGCGCAGGCTCCCGTCTGCTCGCAACAAAGCTGGTGTAGACAGTTTTGTCCCGCTACGTCTTTTAACGTAAGCAGAAACATTTTGGGACTAGCTGCAGCAGAGTCCGCTAAACCCTGAGCGTATTGGAGACGAGCAGTTCAGAGAGGTTGTTTATATTTATTTCTAATCTCTCGATAACCACCATAGGTACTGGATGCTGGAGCTGCTTGGTAGGTTCGCCAGCACCTAGAACTTTTCTTGAGTAGGTGCTTGCCGGTGGTATCTATCCATGGAGGCTGTGCCCTTAACCCACTTTTCCTATTGAGTGGAATATAGGGAGTGGAAACCTCCGCAAGCTATGCTTTAAATTTATCCCAGGCTAACTGGACAGAGTCAACCATCGAGATATCACAGTACAGAACTGAATCTTTAGTTCGCATTGCACTAAAGTCCGCCCGCCACATATTGGGAAATAATTCAACAGCGGCTTCTTGGTGCCTTGAAAGAGCACATCGAAAGGATGGGGATGCGTGCTCTTTGCACCGTATGAAACGTCAGTCACGAAGTCGAAGGACTTAGCGAAAAACAAATCCAAAGCGGATGGTATTTGGTTGTCCATAAACTTACTGGGAAAGTCAACAAACTGGTGCAAAGGCACTTGGAGAGTCAGTTCAATAAAGTCTGCACCGAACGTTCCTAATGCCGAATTGCGAGAAAGATCGGCCCAACAGACTTCCGGGAGGTTGAACTCCCATAGAACTAACCCTTAGTCGCAGAATGAGTGCGAATAAAGTCAAGTATTCCCCTGGAAGAACTTGCAGGACTTCTGTATATCACTATAACTGTAAACTGGGTAGAGGAAGTGCACAAAACAGCCGATAGAGCTTCAACAGTCTGATCCGACGAGTGGAATGTGCAGGTCCTCAACACATATGTTACAGCTCACATACAGTACAACGCCTCCGCCTTGGCGACCAACGGAGCGATCAGTTCTAAGCAGCGCGTAGCCAGGTAAATATACCTCGCCGTCCGTGATATCCGGAGACAACCACGTTTCAGTGAAAGCAAGTGTGTCGGGACGAGATTTGTCTACAAGTAGACCCAACTCGTGCACCTTGTTCCTTAGGCTACGCACGTTGCTAAGTACTACCTCAAGGAAGTCAGCACGACCATCCCTGGGTCGTGCGCCATCAGGATGGGTTCTGATAGGGCGGAAAGTAACTTCCGGCTGACCACCTGAAAACCCACCAGACGGAGGCCTTGCTCACCAGCCGCCCGTCTAGTTTTGAGGTCTTTGATAGCCTCCTTTAACTTCAGTCTATCTGCCAGTGGTAGGTCCGGCTGAACGCTGACACCACTACGCTTAAGTTTGAACGCAAACCGCCGTAATGCTTTGCGTTCCTCCGGGGTAGAAAGGACTACGCGAAGTAGTCGGGGTCGTGGATTTGGCGTAGCGATAGGGACGTTCCCCAATCTGGTCAGCTTTCTGACAGTGACACCAGGAACGCCAGGTGGAAGCAGCTTGCTGACACACAGTTTCAGCCACTTGATGTCATCCAAGATGCGTTCCCTTGGGAGAGCGGCCGCAGATTCAGTAACGTTACGGAATATAACGCTACTATCCGTGAAAGAGTCGGCACGACGGGGAGTGTTTACCCCATGTGCCTTGGAGTCGACACCTATACCAGCAGTTTTCACCACTGGCGGTGGGACTGTCCCTGTCTTCACAAACGACGCCGAAGCAACGGTAGCGTAGGTTTTCCGCTCGCTGTCCGGCGTCTTACTAGTTCCTGGGACTTCAAGCCCCTTCAAAGTTTTACGAGCAGATCTAATCCACTTCCTCTTCTGGTTCACTGGAGCAGGGGCGGTTGACTTTGTATCGCATTGAGCAGTTGCCAGCACTTCGTCAGAACGTGCTGGTTTACTGGCGGCAGAGACGGTTAGCATCTTCGGAAGGTTCTGCGTAAAATCGTCAGACGACTTTACGACTGTCAAAGACGGCATCTTTTCGATGCCGTAGCAAGTAATTCTCCGGGTTTCTCAGAGGGCTTCTGGTATTTCCGCACCTTATTTTTCTTCACTTTGATCGGCTCATGAGGACAGCCAGCAATGCGACCTGGATTGGCCGGTAGGATGTGCGACTTTATGACCGAGTGCCAGACTCCAGTGGATGGATCGTCAGCAACGTTGCCCTCTATTGAAGTGTCTTAAAACGAACTATTCAGAGATTTTAAAATCAAATCCATTTTCGTATCGTGCGACGCAATAGAGGCGAGTTTAGCTATCGCCTCCTCAGCATCTGCCAACCTTGAAGCCAGCGCTGAAAGTTTAGCACCGGTGACAGCCGGGCACGCTGATCTTTGATTGCAGTGTTCAGCACAGCTGAAAAGATTGATTTGACTCTCCCCAGTTTCAGCTTGATCCCGCAAACCCTATCCTGGCACAACCACGTTGTAAAGACGGCATACCCATGGTAAATCCTTATTGTTCCTGTCCGAATTCAAATTGGACATTAACATGTAAATTCAGATATTGAATTTGTGGTACCCTTAAAGCTTTACAATTTCAGCCCCATTATGCGCGATTCATATTGTGTACTGATGATCACAGGAGTTTGCTACTTTACTCCAGAATGACAAAAAGCCTCGAACGGATCCTCACCCGACACTTCATTGTTGTACTTATTGTGCAACTCAAAAGCCACAGAAAGGCAAGCAGTGCAGCGCAAAATACAAATACAACATAAATAGTGACAATTAACTAGCATATTTTAGGCACTCTTTAAGGCAAGCAATGCAGTAGTTGTTTTTGTTTATGTGGACTTCGGTCTTAGTGTCTGCGCAACAGCCGCCTTCATTCGAATTTGTTAATTCGGCCCTGGAATTATGATTGAGGTCGAGATTAAAGGACGTTTTGGGCAGTACATTAAGGTATTTCCATCGTCTGTCAGCTCTTACGTATTCAGGCTATTTTGCTAAACGCTACTGAAGATGATGCCATTGTTACCTACCCGTCGAGGTCTGTTTCGTATCCTTGCTCACGACCGTATTTTAGGGAGGGCGAAGAACGTGTACCGTTATCCATCGTCCGACTACCCGTGCCACCTAACAGGTACGCACATTGGTAACGGTAATCGTTTTACTGTTTATTGGCTTATTTGCTACCGCAATTCACCCGGATTCTTGCACCATTTCGCACCCATAACCTAATCCACTTTGGGTTCCTACTAACTCTTTCAAGATCTGCTTTTTCACTACCACTTATGCGTCTCAGTCTTGTTTAAAATTTTGCGTTTAAGGCTTTTTTATCTTTCATTTACTACAGCAGGCTTTTTAGCTTGATAATCGCATGCGCTGTTATCTTGTTATTTCAAATGTCACTCGCTTTCCGATACTGACGTTCAGAGTTCGTTATGTGTTCTGCTTGTTGATTTATTTCTCGAAACTATTGCCACCCTCCGTCATCATCAACAGCAGTACATCTGCCAATTGGACTGGCATCTCGCTGCCATACATTCACAACGGCCTACGAAAACAAGGATACTAAGAGAAGATAAACGGGACTTACTAGAAAACCTTAATGCCTTAAGCAGACGCAGGTCAAGGCGCCTACACCCTATCAACAACATAACTTCACAAACAGCTGGCTACTATGCAAAGAAAAGGCGGGATCGGCGAGACAACTTCCTGCGGCTTTCACTGCCCCGCGTCAGTCAGCCATTATCCCGTAGATAACAGCATCAAACAGATTTTAAACAGGCAGTCTGACTAGGTGACGGCAGCAGACACACCACTGGTGCCGACTGAGAACCATATCCTCTAAATTCTTTAGTCAAGCACAAGATGACTCATGTGGACTCCATCCTGAAAGGCGGTACGGACCAACGGCATCCATTTTGGTCGTCAGTGACTTCATTTCTCGCTACCAAGTTAACTTATGCTCACCTCGTGCCTTACGCCATCATACACTTGACAAACAAAACAAAGCCCTCGGTGAGCGGTGACCGGGCATACGTAGTACGCGCCAAAGCCAACGTGACTTATTCATTGCTATCCTAGGAACTCGCCTGTCTGGTCTCCTACGTACATCATCGTTGCGAGCACGCTGGTGCTACCTAACACCAGCAATGCTCTGCACAGCGATGATCAAAGACTTGAGGACGCTTCAGATCGAAGGGGCCTTCTTACTTCAATAAAGTGTGTCATTATAAACACGGCCTTTCAGACGGAAGTAATCTCCTGTCACCATAGATGTTTCAAATTCAAAAAGTCAGTTCTGGCTTTTGTACTACGTGAACTGACTTCAATAGTTGTGCCTCCGTTGTTGATGCAGCTGCCAAGATAAGTGAATTGATCAACTACTTCGATTTCCTCGCTGTCTAGGGTCAAGAGATCATCAGGCGGCTGGTGATCCTGCAGCAACACTGCATTTTGAAGATGCAATACGCATATCGAATAATGGGACCACTCTGGACAGACTATTCAGGATTGATTGTGCCGCATCAACATCGTTAAACATGACAATATCGTCCGCATAATCAAGATCAACTAACCTTTCACCAGGCAGACCTCAGCGCCTACATTTTGAGATTCCGCATGGGAACACTCCATGATAGAGATTGAACAAAAACGGGGAAATCGGACAACCCTGACGAACTCCACTTGTGGTCAAAATGCCGTCCGATAGGCCGGACCGTTTGACTCGAGGTCAGATGTTGTGACTTATGATACTGACCATGATCTTAACCGGAAATGCGAACATGGCACAATAAAGTATTCGGCGAGAATTAGGGCACGATAACAATCATCCTGATTTGCCGAGTCAGCTTGCGCAACCCGATCTGGTGTTTTATTCGCATAAGCATCTCATCTATTCACTTTGGGTTGTACTTTTCTGCTGTCGATACATCACGCTTCTTCACCATTAAAGTGCATCCGGACGCTGGCCGAAAGGGTTACGCTCTTGTCTTGTAATCCGGTTACCGGTTTGAGTCCGCGTAACTGCCTCTGACCTCAGTATACCCAGCCCATACACGACCGATGGTGGTCGCGCGGTTGCGAAGCGCAGTTAGTTTGCCGGCATTCTGCTAATGCCTGTCCTACTCTGCCGCGGTATTCACTGATGCCTTGCACCTCGCGACGAAATATGAACAAGGTGTGGTGATTTGTGTGTATCGGTGATTCATTAAGTCGCATTGGACGAAACTTTCTCTGTGCCTTTTTAGTCACATACCGTGGCGGAGCTGTACGCTACCGAGCGCGTCCTCAGTTTGCGGATTGGCGTATGCCTTCCTTGTAAAGGTAACTGCGAATAAGTCTCGTTTGTTTTTGAGACGAAATGAATACATATTCGCAGATGATCAGCGGCAGCGTCCCACAGCGTGGGGAGTTCTGGGCTGGTCATCTGGTTCTCCATCAAATACCACAACAGCTCGTACGGCGCTGTATCAAAGCCACTGTGACCGGCTATAGGGTCTGATCACTCTGGTTACCAGAGGTGAGTACCTAACGCAGGGCGGATAGACAACCTTGCTGACCACTGGCTGCTCTGTGGACTGCTACCGGAAACAAAGAGGACGAATCAGCCACCCGGATGTCAACGGTCTTCCTGAATCGCCCCGCTTCCTTATGTGCTAGGTCTTTATGAACAAAGGCTCGGGGTGGGTTCCCTTAATACAACCCACTCCCTCGGCCTGCGAAACCGGGAAGATCTCTGTCCACACGCATCAACCTTCTTAAGGACTACCTATTTTCTCCACCTTTTTATTGTTTACCATGTGTCGTGGTGCTGTCTATTGTATAATGGTCGTGTTGAATAATAATAATATACATACCAAACAAGTCGATGATTAGAAGTCAGACCAACTCATTGTAAGTATCCTATTCTGAGGTTGGGGTATGTCAATGTCGCGCTTCTTTTACATTAGACATTGAAAATAACAGGCGGTGGGTTGTAAGCTCACAGTTCGATTCGCGTGGAGCACGAATGCCGCGCATTTTATCTGACGTTTATGCCTTGCTACCACCCACCTCAAGCCAGGCAACCCTTGATTAGAGTAGTGGAAACCCGCTAAATCCTACCTGGGGTCGGCCGTGGTCGCAGGTACCTTGCTTGCTATGATCGTAAGACACATGTGAAATACTCTGAATTTTCAAAGTCTCTATATGACGTCTCAACGGTTCTCTGCGTTCACACCTCCGAGCCAAACTTGCTCCTCACTGCCTTGTTGGTCAGGTTATTGATCCGAATGTCACGAGTAGTATTCTCCCTGAAGAATTTTCATGTATCACACTGTCTTGCTAGTTAACTTGTGTCGAAGACTAGAGGTGTAGTATTTCAAACAAAACCCTTTTCTCGGAATGGTCAGCTGGAGAATATGATCTTTCCTCTTCACTCCGTCTCCACTACTTTCTTTTTCCCCTCTCAACTACCCGTTTATTGAGCAAGACTACTGCTGACCTCGCAGCTGATGCTATCGACACGTTTAACTTGTTCAAACCAAAGGTATCATTTTACATTGGTTCATTTAACCTCCGCGCTCTGGGTCAAATCGGCCAACAGTTGGCACCAACTCTCGCTCGTCATTTTCTGGGGATTGATTTGCGCTTCGTCTGGTACACCCATATAAGATGAACGTCATGACGAATCTTCCACTCACTGGTTCTGAATCTTACGACAATGACTACACTCTTCGTGTCTCTGTTAATAATGAGTCATTGGTGTTGATATTGCCCTCAGTAAACATGTCGAAGCAATCTACTCGTTTAGGCGCAACTGAACACTCGCATGTGTGCAGTTCGGATTCGAACCTGTATTGGGTTTAATAAGCACCAACTAAAGAAATGTTACTTTTCCATCACTTCCGGCTGTGGCGCAACATTGGAGTCCGGAATGTATGAGAGATGTCTGTCATGAACTCATCTCTTATCCCTATGGTGAGAAATACTGATCGTGATTGTTGCTGTTGATATGAATGCCCATGTGGGTCGCCTTTTAAACTGAACAACACCGGAGAAGCCGAACAATCAGCGGCGATCGCTCCCTGAAACTATGTCTCGATCAAATTCTTTATGTTCTCGGCACCGCTTTTCAGCACAAACGCTCACATCGTGCCACCTGGTACCCACTGAATTGCTCGATGTCCTGGTGCCAAACTAACCATATTGCCATCAGCCACAGATGGCAAATATCGGTTCAAGCTCAACGGTCGATTTTGAACAACTCCGTGTATTCCCTCCATGTTGTGATGCGCGCACATAGCATTCACTCTTCCACTTCAAGGAGGCGCATAGCCTCGAAGCATCGTACATGTAACTTGAACTGGAAGTCCACAATTCGATAATCTCATGATGAACTGGACCAGCAGTTGTCAGTGGTGAATGCAATTTGTGGGGCGAATGCTGACTAAAATCTTCTCAAACGTGCTATGAGGGATACTTACGACCCATGCTACCCTTTTAACTTGAGACCTCCAAACAGTGAATAAATCTCTTAGGTTTTGATCGATTTGATCGACGCATTTAGCGTGCGCTTCACACCTTCAAAGTGTATTGTGATGTTTTAGAACCACCAACCATTTGATTATGCTTTGATAGCGAAAAATTCGAGACGGTTGATCAACTCTACATTTGCAGCTACGTCAGCAGCGATCTGCTCATAACGACTGATGACGGTTCAAGTATCGCAGAAGCTATAACTGTCTTCTCGTACCTGACATACGTGGCGTCAGAAGGGGTTTGCCACGGTTTAGGAGACCCTGTTTACAAAGTCGCAATGAGGGCCGTCATATCCTTTGGCAGTGAGCTTTGACCCCATGGTATGAAGATCTGAGACGCCTTCAAGTCTCATCATCGTTGCCTGCGAAGCGTTACCGATGTCAAATGGCACAAGCGTTTCCGCAACGATGATGTACGTAGGTTAGTACCAGGCAGTGATAATCGGGCTGGTTCCTTAGCATAACCAATAGCACAGGATTGGGTTGGACACGTACTACATACTCCCAATCACCGCCTACTCGATGCACAAGACTCGAGGAGGACAAACATTAATTTGGTAGCGGGGAATGAAGGCACTGGCGTCTGACTTAGATACGGTTGACCAGTCACCTTCCAG